ATGGCGCACACCTTTAATCTCAGCACTCAGGAGGCAGAGCCAGGTGGATCTCTGTGAGTTCAAGGCCAGCCTGGTCTACAGTGTGAGATCCAGGACAGGCACCAAAAACTACACAGAGAAACCCTGTCTCGAAAAACAAAACAAAACAAAAATAGTAATTATAAGTAGATATGTGATCATAATCAGTGATATGCTACGGTGGTAGAAACTGTATTTAGCTGCAGTATGCAGTGCCTAAATTTATCTGGCCACAGCCTCCAGAAATAAACTACACTTCCCAGTCTTCCCTGCAACTAGTGAGGCCATGTAAATAAGTTCAAATCAAGGAGATTTAACTGGAAAGGTACATAAAGCTCCCAGTAAACATCCTTAAAAATACAGGGCTCCCTCTCTGTTGATCTCCCCCTTCTCACCAGATGGAGTTGCTATTTTGGACTCTGATGTGAAGCTTCATGCTGAGAATGGCAGAGCATCAGAACAGGAGGTGCCTGGGTCGCTGACACTGTAGAGATGCTCTTTCCAACCTAGTCCACTACAGAGCTTCTGGACGACAGACAAGTAGGAGCATACCTGTTCAAGCCATCTTTATGTGGGGGTTTCATTCACACAAGCCTGATTGTAAATGGCATTTACCATAAAGAAAAAAAAGAGGCTTCAGTGAGATTATGAGTGGAGAAAGGGGCTTCAGGGTTGGCTCCTCAGAGCAAGTAACAACTTTCAGCAGGGAGGGCAAGCCAGAGAGGTAGGTTGGCAAACTGAGGCAGGGAAAGCCAACTTGAATGAACATCAACTTGGCCTAAATCCTCCTAGGACAAGAGACACACTTTGGAATGTTAAGACTGCCTGTTAGGCTAGAGGTGTAGTGCAGTTACAATAGTGCACTTGCTTAACATGCACAGAGCCCTGGGTTCCATCCCCAGAACTCTCAAGAGTAAAAAAAAAAAAAAAGAGGAGGAGGAAGAAGAGGAGGAGGATGAAGAGAAGGAGGAAGAGGAAGAAGAGGAGGAAGAGGACGAAGAAGAGGAAGAGGGAAAAGATTGTTTTCACAAGAAATTAGAATTAAAACAGAATACTAAAGCACCTGAGCATTTTGGCTCCGGAATCAGAATCTCTCTATTCTGCCATGGACCACATATTGCCTGTCAGATATAAATGGAGGGGGAAGTGCAGAATGAGAATGAATCCTGTTAAGGAAATGAATAACTGCTTCCACACGTTAGCCTCACTATGGTTCAAAATAGTTGAATTCTCTGATTAGAGTGGATCATCTATCATGAAGAGAATGTCACACAGTTTTCAAACGCTAACTATTCCAGGGACAGACCAAAAATGCTGTCAAAAAAATTTTTTTAAACAATGTTTTTTTTTCCCCCTATCTTAAAATGAAACAGATGTATTATGGAGATTTTTTTAAAACACACACGCAGGAGAATAAGGGGGAAAAAACAACTATGCTGGGGATGCTATGAATGTGTTGCTCTGGCTGATTGATTGATTGATTGATTGATAAACAAAATGCTGATTGGCCAGTAGCCAGGCAGGAAGTACAGGCGGGACCAGCAAGATAGAGAATTCTGGGAACAGGAAGGCTGAGTCAAGAGTCGCCAGCCAGACACAGAGGAAGCGAGATGTAAAAGCCATGTGGCAACTCATAGATTAATAGAATTGGGTTAATTTAAGATGTAAGAGCTAGTCAACAGTTAGCCTGAGCTAATGGCCAAGCAATTTTAATTAATATGAGCTTCTGAGTGATTATTTTATAAGTGGGCTGCGGAACTGCGGGGGCCTGAGTGGGACTGGAGTGGGACTGGAGAAAATTCCAGCTACACAACTATATGTAAAATCACCACCTCCCAACATTTTCTACTGATACTGCATTCATATACATTTGTATTCCAACACACATGTAATGTACATTAAGTCATAAATGACTCTTAGCAGAGGCTATTCTATATCACTAAACCACGATTTTAATTGGCTACATAGCATACAATTTATTTAGCCAACTGAATCTAGGAATGCTTTGAGTTAACTGTCAGAGACAAATTGAATCCCTGTAGGTGAAGCTGCCTTCTAAACCCACCCTAAAATTTCTATTCAGGAATCTCGAGCTACAGTTTGAAAGCACTAGAAATTTCCAAACAAGCATTCAAGGAAATTCATTGGGTTTTAGCCACAGAGGATGCTCACCGAAGACTGTATTTTCCCAAACAAAGCACTATCAAAGACTGAAGTTGTATTTATAAATAAGAACCTAGTAAGTCTACTCTAAGAATTGATGACTATCCGCAATGTTATATTTCTTTAATAAAGAAAAATAAGAAAATGTTTATATTTTACTTGTACAATTAACTTTACAAATAAATATATAAGAATGTATCGAGACCTGGGCAGTGGTGCACACCTTTAATACCAGCACTCGGGAGGCAGAGTCAGGTGGATTTCTGTGAGTTCAAGGCTATCCTGGTCTATAGAGTGAGTTCTGGGGCTACACAGAAAAACTGTCTTAAAAAAAAAAAAAAAAAAACCAACCAAGGATTAAGTCTTTAACTGTAACTATGACATTATTCTTCAGACTTTTCTGTATTTAACTTTTTTTCACAACAAAAACATAATGTTAAGCTAAACTATTAGTCAGATGAGTAAGGTAACTCAGATTTTAGCTACTAAAGTGAAAAGAAAAGTTTTGCCAAGGTCTAAGTAGTCTTGGACAAAGCAAAACAGGTAGCATCAGAAATTCGTTTCAAAATCAAACGCTTTTAGATTTCAGTCTGATGAACAACACCAAGATTTCCTGCTGGAATGCTGAGGAAGAGTCAGGGCTCACATTGGACAGCTCTTCCTTCTTTAAACACTGTCCTGTCCTAGTCTATCAAGAAGGCTATTTTATAGTTTAAGCAAATACAAAATCTGAAAGACTGCATTTCAGCTTAAGGTCTTTCTGATGTTTCTGTCAGTGATGACTAGACAACTGTAATTCTCTAAGTGAGGTCAGTCAAGAATAAGAAGTTACAGAATAAACCAAACTGAGGTGGTTTGAATAAGAATGGCCTCTATAGGTTCATATACTTGGATGCTTAGTCAGCAGGGAGTGGAACTCTTGGAAAGGATTAGAAGGATATGGAGGTGTAGCCTTGTTGGTGGAAGTGTGTCACTGGGGGCAGGCTTTGAGGCTTCAAAAGCCCATCAGGCCCAGTCTCTTCCCCCCTCCCTCTTCCTTCCCTCCTTCCCTCTATTTCTCTGCTGCACTCCCCTACCCCACCACCCCCACCGCCACCCCCACCCCCTCCATCTTCCCATATCCCATGCTCTGCCTGTGAATCTGATGTACCTCTTGGCTACTATTCAAGCACCATGCTCCCTGCCATGATGAGAATGGATTAACTCTGAAACTGTAAGCAAACTCCAATTAAGTGTTTTCCTTTGGAAGAGTTGCCTCAGTAGTCAGGCGGTGGTGGTGCATGCCTTTAATCCCAGGACTCAAGGAGGATTAAGGCAGATCTGTGAGTTTGAGGCCAGCCTGGTCTACAGAGTAAGTTCCACGACAGCCAGTGCTACACAGAGAAACCCTGTCTTGAAACCCCGCCCCCTCCCAAAAAAAATTGCCTTGGTCATAGTGTCTCTTCACAGCAACAGAACAGTGACTAAGACACAAACCTTCACACTAGTTGTCACAAACAAAATTTTCAAATAAATGTAATTTTTTCTTTGATTGCCCCATTTCCCTGAAATGCAGCCTTGAGTTCTTTTAGCTTTGTAAAAGCATTTCCCATCCCCATTCCACTAATCATTTTCAACTCCTCTCTGCTAGAATACGTGAAACTTTCAGCAAAAGTGACTCACTCATTGGCATCTTGTCAAAGGAACCCTGTAACTATCAGAAGGCTCAGAACTAAACAGAGCTCTAAAGGCAGACACTGTCACCAACATACTTCACTTTAGAGAACCCAGTCACACACTAACAAGTCCTGTTTACATTTTCTCTTACAAGTTTTTCTCTTCCTCTGCAGCCCATCACCTCCCAGTTTTACTCTGGCTCCTCCTAATCTAAAACACTGTCTGTGGAGGGGCAAGATTGGAAAGCACCAAAGAAAGAGGAATCAAAAACAGTGGTTCACCCAGCTTAGAAGATTAACTATCTGTGGTTCTCAAAGTTTATTTCTCCCTTCAATGAAATGAAAAACATGATCAGAGTCTGCAGGAAAAAAGTTTTTGTTGCTATTATTTAGACAACAGCATAAACTCAGTTACTGAAGACCATTTTGACAAAACTCTTCAGTAAGATTTCACTAGCACTCAACTGTCAACTGGCTCACAGCTATTTGCTCATTACTCCAGGACAGAAACTGCTCTTTTAACCAGAGGGAGAAGAGTGAGCAAAGAAGAAAAGGGGATGATTCATAGATTACCACAGGCTGTACCGAGAGCACCAGCGACGGTCACACTCCACCTGGTGGCAGGTAAAGTGGAAGCTGGTCCTTGTACAAAACACAAGATGGCCTTTCTTGCCCTACATAGAGTGACTCCAACAAATTCCACCAAAGACTTTTCAAATAGTAGGTCAGCATCCGATGAACATCAGCATAAAAGTCTGACAACATTGACAACAGGAGACCTACATGGAGAGCCACCTAATAAGGTAAATGTCAGCTCAAATCTTTGAACAGTTAAGAAGACGACACAGCCCAGGACTCCACATCACACCCACTCCCATTTTCTTTGCCCCTTCCCCTAGGGGTAAATTACAGTGTAATTAACACGTTAACGGCAGCCTGCCACATTGCTTTTAGGTATCTGCCAGTAGCATATACTCATGGGATACTCTAGAGACTGATTTCAACCAAAAATAAAAATAGATAAACAGCTCAAGCAAAATTAAACTGAGTCTGGCTGCCCACACTTATTTTCACACATGAAGAAAAACAGCAGTTCTCTTAGAAGCTTCAAGCACACATATCTTTAGAACACAATGTTAAAAATATGTCCCCGCCTTCCCCTACCTGTTTCTCACTCAAAGCTGTGATTTTGGCTTGGAGTTCATGAAGCTGTTTCTTTAAGTCAGCATTCTGATTGGAAAGAAAAAATATCTGTGAGAAAGATATTCATTTGTTAACATAATAGTATCAGGAAGATTATGCATATACTGCATTACAAGTGCTGAAGCAACCTTTAGCTATCAAATTTTCCATGCATTAAATTATAAGCATAACATCGACCCCTAAAACAGAATGGAGCAGCTTCCTCATAACTGTTTTAAATTACAGGAAGTTTTTTACAATCTCATCTTGCACTCTAATAGTACCTTTCTCCTAAAATATTGTTATTCTTTATGGAAAGTATCAGTTGACAGAAAACCTAAAGCTCCACTAATCAGACAAAAACAGGAAAATGGAGGTTAAAGGACGCCACCCCGCTGCTTAGCGGCATTATCAACAAAGATAAGAGGCTTTTCTCTACTTGTCCTCTCTCTTATTTAGTAAAATACATTTGTTATTTTAGCCTAGATTTGGAAAGCTGTCAGCACTGTAACTGCCTTAACAGCACATCATTCAAATCAACACGCTGAAATTCCAGGAATCGAAAAGCAGTACTATTTGAGATGAAATGCACTGAGCATGTCTGCCTTTTGCGGGGGTGGGGGGTAGGGAGGTGGGGGAATAGGATATTAAAGTTTTCAAGTGTTTAACATAGCAGGAAAGCTGAATGTCACCCCAGTGAGAGACTCACTTGTCTCACACATACTTCCTCATTTCCCTGCCTGGTCTGTCGGGGTTGGGGCACACACTCTTTCTGTGCTCAGCTTAACTCATTTGGGATTGTTCAGGTGTATTTAACATAAGGCTTCTCTAAAGGCACCTAAACTGTTGTCCAGTAAGTTATTGGCCCTCAGATTTTCCAGGGTCATGAAAATTTTAAGAATTTACTGTTATATGATCATGAATTATCAGAACTGCTGGCTTCTGAAACTACTTCAGTTATTGACAATATAGATCACCATATTAAATATAAAGGACCTAGCAATCTGTTGCCACTTGGTTCACTAAATTCAGTTTAAATTGTGAACACACTAAATAAACATTAAAAAAGGCATGTTTCTGATGGAAGGCAGATGTGGCCACAAAGGCTACTTCTCAGAGTCAATTATTAATACAACAGTCAGACCACTGAGTCGAGATGAATATTATACCCGACTTAAAAAGAAAAAATTAATCTGCCTTAGTACTACTCTTCAAGAATTTATTTTACTTTATAGAGAGTCATGTATGACCCACTGTCTAATGGATGCCAAGAAGACACTACCTGAATAATATCAATCACTGGAGGGCAAGGTAACTTTGGAGAAAGAATTCTCTATAGAAGAGAATAAAATTTCCAAGTCAAAACTCCTATAAAAATTAAATTTAACATTTTATCAACTATTATATTATATAAGATACCTCTAAACTCTTTTTAAGGGTTCTTTTAAATGTAGAAATTTCAAAACCAGGTATGGGGACACATACCTATAATCTCAGCACTTGAGAATTAAAAGCAGGAGGAATAGGAAGCCAAATGTCATCTTTAGCTACATATGAAATTTGGGGCTATCCTGGAACATGAGATCTTGTCCCAAAACAAAAAAACAAAACAAAATGTAAATTTCAAACTTTTTATAAATTATTCTAAAATTTTTACTGTGAATGTAGTAAATCCGATATTCAGGTGTCCTATATATAAACTCCACACAATTAAAAAATGGTTTGGGGGCATTTTGTAAGTTTTGAGACTTTAAAAGCCTGCTTAATTCTGAATATGTGAATCTAAGCCATATATGGGGACACAAGCATGTAATCCCAGCATTTGAGAGCTCAAGGGAGGAGGATTGAGAGCCTGAAGCCAGCCAGGTAGAGTGTCAACAGTTGTTTGCCTGGCTGTCCTAGAACTTGCTCTGTAGACCAGGCTGGCCTCAAACTCAATGCACTTCCTCGCCTCCCAAGTGCTGGGATTAAAAGCGTGCACACACATACACCCCACTCTCTTCAAAAGTAGTTTTTTAAAGAAAGAAATTTAAGCTATATGAAGCCTGTTAAACCTTTTTTTTTTTTTTAACAAATATTCATTGCAATTAACAAAAAAGCAAAATAACAGTAACAAAGTTGAAATGATAGCAATTTTATACAACTGGATTTTTTTAAACCTATAAAACATAAATATCAACATGCAAATATATGTGATGTTTGGGATGAAACTTTTAAATTTAACTAACATCTGCATTTTACCAGTTTATTGTCATTTTCAATTGATTTTACATTTAAAAATTAAGTTAATAACAACAGAAATTTTTACCTGTGGATCCTGCTTCATTTGAGCAACCAGTTTCTAGTAATAAAGAGAGAAAAAGAACTGTCAGTTTCACATCTTAACTCCTATGGCTACCTAGGTTTGGGGGGACACACATGCACGCAAACATGCACGCACAAAAATAAAAATAAATCAGTAACACCATCAAAATAGACCAAAAATTTTGGTGAGGTCTGTAAAAGACTATTGAAGCACTCTTTGTACAGAATAAAGAATCAACTATCCCTTTATTTTTGAAATAAAAAAGTACCTGATTTGTCAGTGTGGAGGAGGATAGTGACTTCTGCAATTTAAATAAGCAGGATGTACAGGCCGGGCAGAGTGGCGCACGCCTTTACTCCCAGCAAACAGGAGGCAGAGGCAGGCAGATCTCTGTGTGCTCGAGGCCAACCTGGTCTATATAGTGTGTTCCAGACAGCCACAGCTACATAGTGAGTCCCTATCTTAAAACAAACAAACAAAACAAATAAGTAGGATGCTCCAAAGGCCAAATACCCCTTTAAACTACTGTCACCATCTGGATTCCCAAACAAGGTCTGGAAAGAAGCTGTACCGAGACAAGCAGGGCTGTTTGTCTACAGCAAGGTAAAGGTCTGGCAGGCCTATTGGTTTGTACCTCACAGCAGAAGGAGCCTCGTGCCAAGTGACCTTGTGCTGTCAGCTCTCAATCACCTGTAACTGCAGGCCCAGAGATGGGTCCCCTCTTCTGGCCTCTGTAGGCTTCAGGCACACATATGGTGCAAATATACATGCAGACAAAACACTCATACACATCAAATAACAAATAGATATCATCTGATCTAACCCAACTGGTAAAAAAAAAAAAAAAAAAAAAAAAAACAAGAGTAACAATAGCTGTGGACAGAGAGATTTAAACAATAAAGGAATATGAGAAGGCTGCCTCCTAAAACCCAGGATTGGGTACCTAGGATTAGCTCTTTTCCAACGGAATCTTCATATAATAATAGAAAGAGTTGTCACACTCTTTGGGTGACAAGGCACTTTTAAAATGTTGTTATAAAAAATATAAAATATACAATACACTCATCTACTTTATTAAACAGAAACCAAGCTCTTATAGTTAGAGGAGTGATAATATGATAATATACAATACTATATAACAATATGACTTGCAAAAAGCCTCAAACCACAATGTTATAATGAGTCCTTACGCCTTTTAGATTTTTTAGTCTAGTTCTTTCTTCTTTCTTTTTTTTTTTCCTGAGGGTTTCTCTTTATGTAGTCCTGGCTGTCGTGGAACTAGCTCTGTAGACCAGACTGGCCTTGAGTTCACAGAGATCCACCAGCCTCTGCCTCCCAAGTGCTGCGATTAAAGGCATGTGCCACCACCACCTGGCCTAGTTCTTTTTTGTTATTGTTGTTTTGTTTTGTTTGTTTTTCGAGACAGGGTTTCTCTGTGTAGTTTTGCGTCTTTCCTGGAACTCACTTTGTAGACCAGGCTGGCCTCGAACTCACAGAGATCCGCCTGGCTCTGCCTCCTGAGTGCTGGAATTAAGTGTGCGCCACCACCGCCTGGCTCTTTTTTTTTTTTTTTTCCAGAGCTGAGGGTCGAACCCAGGGCCTTGTGCTTGCTAGTCAAGCACTCTACCACTGAGCTAAATCCCCAACCCCCCTTTTTTTAATTAAATATTTTATTTAAAATTTTATGTTTAATTAAATATTTTATTTAAAATATTTATGTGTATTACATATTGTTATTTTATTTAAATATTTAACATTAACTATGTTGTTTATTGATATATAATAATTAGATACCTATTGTTTTAAATAGTTCACTTGTGTATGTGCCCTGTGTCATGGTGCACATGTGGAAGTAAGAGGATCACTTTCAGATGTTCGTTCTCTCTCTCCACCATGTGGGTCCCAGGAATTAACATCAGGTCTTTGGGCTTGGTAGCAGGGCCCTCTATCCATTTAGCTTCTTGTCGACCCCTATAATTCTTAATTGTCAAGCAATCCGCTAACAAATCCTGCTAGTATTGTGCCACTTTCTAAAAGCAATGAACACCAACTCAGCCTTGCTGCTTCTGATGCTATGTAATAAACACACTGGACTAATTTTAAGATGAGTGACCCGGTTGCAATAGCCCAAGAAATGCTTGGTGAATGATATGACATGTATTCTAACTGGACAAAAGTCTTTCTTCCTGGTACTAAAATGCATTCTGGATAGCTGAGGCCATCAAATACACAAAGTGTACATGATGAAATTCTGCTTCATGTCTGACGAAACTACCTCTTGAGTAGACGCATCGAAATCTGTGCAGTAATGTATTGTCTATAAACTCAATGGAATGGAATGTCTCCATCCTTACAAATCTTGCCACACTTCCATTTTAGAAGCTGATCTGGGCTCGGGAGATGGCTGAGTGGGCAAAGGTTATTTCCACCCAAGACTCAAAACCTTAGCTCTATTCCTAGAAACTACCTGGTGGAGCAGAGAACCTATTCCACAGAGTTGTCTTCTGACATCTATGTGTGTGCTGTGACACACAACCTCACACACACATAAAATAAAAAATAAAGTCTGAGTGTCCTTTTTGATTTGCTTACTGCAGAACTGGCTATTATCTGTAAAGTTATTTTTGAGGCTGAAAGAGTTTTTTTTTTTTTCCATAACATTGGATTTTTTTTATTGCTATCTATTTATTTAATGTATATAAGTTTTTGCTTGCATGTAAGTATGTGTACGATATTCTGCTTCGTGTTTGCACCACATACAGGCCTGTCACCCTCAGATGGCAGAGGTAGGTGTCAGACCCCCTGGAACTAGAGTCACAGATGGCTGTGAGCCACCATTCGGGTGCTGGGAACCAAACCTGGGTTCCCCAAAAGTGACTAGTGCTCTTAACCTCTAAGCAACTGGTGTAGCCCATGGCACTAGAATTTAAAAACTGACTAGTAAGATCTACCTCTCCAGAAAATAAATAAATCAGCTTTTCTATGTACATGTAGTTAAACCACATTTACACAAACAAGACGAGATGAGGAACTCACTAGGCCATCCATACCCCAGATGACATTCAACTGGAATTACATCATCAAAGTCCTTTTCCATTGAATGCCTGATACCATTTTCCATGATCTATATTGTATCAAAGATAAGAAAACAACAGCCAAGCAGCCAGATCCAGACCACCACCTGCTTCCTAAATAAAGTCTTAGGAAACCGAGCCACACCCATTTGTTCACAGCAGAGGAGTGACACAGATATGAATGGCCTGCAGTTTAAATACTTCACCATCCGGCCCTTTACCGAGAAAGTTTGTTAACTTCTGCTTG